ATAGATCTTGTCATATTAAAAAGATGCTAAGTCATATTAACTAGATCCTAAGTCATATAAAAAATGCTAAGTCATATTAAAGAGATGCTAAGTCATATTAAAAAGATGCTAAATCATAATATTGAGATGCTAAGTTATCAATTTGAAAGTTTCTTATCATTTAGAGATGTTAGGTCCTAACAGGGAAATGCTAAGTTATAATAGTGACATGCTGAGTTATAACTTTGAAATGTAAGTCATACTAATGGGCGGCTGTGTCTGAGTGGTTAGAGCAGTCGTCCTCCAATGCAAGAGTTGGGGGTTCAAATCCACCAGCAGTCACATGCCGAAGTGTCCCTGGGCAAGACACTGAACCCCTCGTAGCCTCTGATGTGTGTCCCATCAGTGTATGAATGTGATAAAGCTCTGATTAGTCTCTTTAGAATGATTTGTTCAATTATCTTTGTAGAGATCTAGTATAGAGCTGTATGAATGGGTCAATGAGGCACAGATCGTTGTAAAGAGCTCTGAGTGTCTTGAAATAAGATAGAAAGGCGCTTTATAAGTCCATTTACTAATAAGATTTTAAATCATAATTTTGAAATGCTGATTCATTTTAGAGTTTGCAATTTATAATTTTTAGAAGCTAGAAGAGAGATGGCATCTTATAATTATCACTTAAGACCTTTTATTTGTCAGAGAGGGCTTCCATACAATGTAACAAAGAAACGTTAAGATAAAGATGAAAGATATTAATAATGCACATGCTTTGTTTTTTAGTTCATTGTAAACATAAATAATGTGTTATCTTTTCCATTAGCAGAAATCAACACATGTTAAGAAAGATTCATTAAAACTGTTTTTCTGTCTGATTGGAGTATTTTAACTTTTTGCTCATCCTTTTAGTTTAATTTATTTATTCCCGCAGAGCCAAGCCCATCCAGTCCCAGGAGCCAATCCTGGAACCTGCTCCGCTCTCCGGGTTTTCCAGTCCGCCTCCGTCTCGCCCCTCAGCGCGCGCGGCTCACAGCCACTGGTCACTCATCAGACCACTTTGTCCGGGTTTGGGTCTCCGTGCAAGACTGCTGAAAACCACCTCTCAGCTTTTCTTTCACCCGCGAGGCCACAAGGAAGCGAGCAGAGTCCGCGCACGGCAGCTCCACTCACAACAAGTGCAGCAAACCTTTGAAAGTGTCTTTTCTTGTAGAACCATCCGCGCCCTGCACCACCATGTCTGGAGAAGACGCACCTGTCCAGCAGCAGAACGCAGTGGACCAGAAGCAGGAGACCAAACCCGCCGAGGAGCCCAAACCCGAGCCGCCCAAGACGGAGTCGGAGCCCGCGGGCGCCGCGGAGGCAGCGGCGGCCCCGGCGGCCGCGGCCCCCGAGGAGGAGACGTTCACGTACCGCGCGCTCGTGCTCACCGGCTACGGGGGCTACGATAAAGTGAAGCTGCAGGTGAAGAAGGGCAAGCCGGTGCTGAAAGCTGGAGAGGTTCTGGTCCGGGTCAAAGCCTGCGGGCTCAACTTCGCAGACCTGATGGCCAGACAGGGGCTGTACGACCGGCTGCCGTCCCCCCCGGTCACCCCGGGGATGGAGTGCTCCGGGGTGGTGGAGGCTGTGGGGGAGGAAGTGACTGACAGGAAAGTAAGAAAACAATCAGTTGCACGTTTTGGTGTTTTTCTGTCACGTTCTTCTGGTTTGAGAGGAGTTTGGAGTCGGTTCTGCATCATGGGCGTGTCAGCTGCTTCATTGTGTCTCATTCCCCAAAACGATGAAGCTTTTAGGGTTCATGGCCAAACAAAGAGAATTAAACAATCAGGTCATGAAAACAACCACTTCATGGTTTTATTGAGCTAATCTGGGGGGTCCATCTAAAATCCAGCTGATCAGGTCTAAATCATAGCGCTGCGTAAAAGTTGGTAAGATCAGTTTCTCTGCAGGATCTTGTATTTGTATATACTTTTTATTTTTATTTTGGGGTGGGGGGAGGCTGAAAGTGTCTAAATGACCCAAGTTGTTTGAAAAGCAGCAGCAGAAGGAGCAGGCGTCGCCCCCTCGCGCCTCTAGAACCGCGTCTGCCGGAGCGCGCGGAGACGTGAAGCCACCCCCCAACTGTCAATGAACGGATTTAAAGCTCGGGCCGATCCCAGGCGCGTGCGATTAAAGTCTAAAGCTAAATAAACACGTGCGGACCGGCTGGGTGCTTCTCCACCCATCGCTGCGCCCACGCTGCTCTGCGCTCTGATGGAGGCGCGCTGCGTCAAGGTGCGCGGAGTCCACACCGGAAGCTGGGTGATTGTCTTCAAAATTAAAGCTTTGAGGTTGCAAAAAAAAAAAAAAAAAATTCAACCTTTATTTCTACAGGTTAATCCCACTGAGCCTCGGGGACTCATTTACAAGAGAGACCTGATTTTAACAGAGTGATGACAACAATGGACAACAAAGAAAATAATAGACGATCATAAAGGATGCGTACAAATTTAATTTTTTTAATTTAATTTAATTTTTTTAACAAGTGAAAATCAAATGTTGTTTTAAAAAAGATGTAACAAAAAAACAGCTAGATTATAAGGCGGTGTAGAAAAATAAAATCAAGAACATGTCAGTTTTTGCCAGGAACTTTGGCAGATGTTTGAAGCCACTAAGAGAAGTCAGGTTTTTAAATAACTAAATGAACATTACCAACAAAATGATAATAAATGGACCAAAAAAGTGACAAAGCGCTAAGTTGACAAGTGGTCATTCCCTCAAAGCTTGAAAAGTCTCTGAAGGGGAGAATATGTTGAAAAATCATTCAAGTCAACGTTTTAATTAAAAGGCAGACACGTCAAATGACGCATCAGTTGTAAATTCAGCACGTTTTAGATTATAAATGCTAAAATGATGCACCATGCTTTTATTTTGGAGACTGGAGGAAGAGCACCGGCAGTGGTGGAGGGGAGCTTGACTCCGGTGGCGGAGACCGGAGTCACCGAGACGCCTTTTGTTACCGGGAGCGACGGTGGCGCACAGGGTGGAGAGGGCGAGGCGTGGCGCTACAGACAGACAGGCAGACAGACAGGCAGACAGACAGGCAGACAGTGTGGGGATCATCTTTGTCAGCACCAAGAACAAACCTGAAACCTGAGAATACTGCACAAGATCTGCATGAATGTGAAGCAGTGGCTCCCAGACAATGAAAGGAGAGAAACCATCAGAGCTGCTGGGATGCAGGAGTTGGTTTGATGAGTCACAGGCCCGATGGGCACTCATGCCTCCTGGCCGTGTGGCATCACCAAGGCAACACCTTTCCAAGACGATCCTAACCTCAGATGCAACTTCACATTGTTCAAGATGCTCCCTCACGCTTTTCTTTTCTCTGAGCGAGTGTGTGTGTGTGTGTGTGTGAGTCGGTGCACGGAGCTGGGAGTGGCACCTGAAGCCCAGATCAGATGTGAGATTTAATGATCCACATCAGGTTCAGACCCGCGTGTTTTCAGGTTACTTTATTGCCGCTTTCTAAATTGTCAGTGATGGTGATTGGATTTAAAGGTCAACAGCCACACACACGCACACACACACACACACACGCACACACACACACACAGCTTGTCATCACACTCCCACATCCACTCACAGCCCACTGCTGATGGAATAAAGAGCCAGTTTTTATAATGGATGGAGAGCTCGGAGATTTCTTTTCTTTATGCCAACTTGGAGGAAATGTGCTGACCACCATGGTACAGGATTTTTGGGAGGCTCTCTCTGCTCTGTCTGTTTCCTCAAACACACACACACACACACTCACACACACAAACAGGCACACACACAAACAGGCACACAAAGTAAGTGAATGGGCGTGTCTGGGTGTTGGCAGACAGCACAGCTCTAAACACATAAGGCTTTTTAAAGAAATAATTTATGCATTAGTTCATTAAATGTGACACACACACACACACATATATATATTTATATATATTCCTCGTTATGTTAAGTATATAGAGCACCATAAGTAATTATGTTTATGCCTGTATGTGTGCGTACCAGCCTTTTAGTAAAATATTTCATGAACCACTGGCTATAATTTAATGAAACTTTCAGTTTTTAGTCATTGCATGTCCCTTTACAGCTGAATGTTTTGTGGTGTCAGCTCTGTTCAAGATGGTCGCCACAGCTAACAACCTTAGAAAACACGCAAACGGCTACAACTCTGTCCATTTTAAAGACACTGACCTGAAATTTGGTGTACAGCTTAGAGTCAACCCCTTTTTGTGCTAAATAAAGATTGTATGATACTTGCTTTTTAAACCTTTTCATGACTTATAGGAGTTACTATGTCTGTTAACAAAATATCTCATGAATCACTGAATGAAACACTCAGAAAGTGATCAATGGATGTTTATCTACAATTGATTACCTTTTGAATGGAACTCGACTCAGGTTGATTAATTAATATTGGTGCACCGATCTTTAAAGAGCCTGACCTGCCGATTTTGATTTTGGCCGATTTTGTTTTATGAACGACACTTGTCAGGTGTTTACACGTCACAACGCACCTTCAATTTTCCAAACTTATTTTATTGATAATCATATTTGAACAATATCCTAGAAACAATACAAACTTGTTTGAACCGGCCATGAGGCAGTGCTCTGAAATATAAATGGTTTAGACAATTGTTGTTAAAACTAAAACAATCGGTAAAATCGGTTTTAGACCTGTCGCGATAAACAATAAATCAATTAATCTCATGATAAATGAAAATTATCAACCTCATTTTCATTTATCGGCTTTATCGTTTCTTCGTGTCTCTCTCTTTCTACTGAAGACACTGGATGACAAAAGGATCAACTCAGGTTTTCTTCACTGACCCCTCCCTTTCTTTTAAAAATCTGTTTTAAACGTCCAAAATCACGTTTTTGTATCGTTAAAAGCAGCTAAAGCTGAGAAGCTAAGCTATGAGCTAAGCTAACAAGAAAAAACCTCCGTCTTGTCGAAGCTCCAAAATTCACGGTTGAAACTCGTGCCTTTGTGTAAAAAGTTGTTTTTCTTTGGAAAAAGCAGCTGAGTTTACTGTTTACTGATTTTTTTATTAAAAGCTTTATGTGAAAAAATGCTATGCTAAAGAGCTCAAACCACATCGAGCATCCGCCATTTTGAGAATCGAAAAACAGGAACGAGAGACAGCCCATGTCACGTCAAGGGGCATCCCTCCCATTTTTCTTAAAGAGGCACGCTGTTCGCTCCCTCACTATCCATCCTTCGGTTCAAATATTCTTATCCAGTGGTCAAAAAAGGTACTACACACAAAAAGTAACTATAATTTATTCTTAAATTTGACAATAATTACTAATTATTGTCAAATTTAACTAAAATAATTACTAATTATTGTCAAATTTCAAATATTATCGCTTATCGCAATAATTTCTGAGACAGCCCAGCAAAGTTTGTTATCGTGACAGGAGTAATCAGTTTCTCATGTAAGTATCGGCCAATCACAATCACCCAAAATTCAGGAAATCGGGGCAATAAATCAGCCGGCCAATTTATTGGTGCACCCCCATTAATTAACCTTTGCAAAAACATGAATGGCTAATTCTTGTTAATTTTAATGGTTATTCAGCTCAAATCTGCTGTGGCAGTAGCTACGAGTCATCCTCAACACACCTGGAGAGCTAGCAAGTTTTGCGAGATTTCGCATGAGATTGTACAAAACGTCATTTAAAAAGTTTGAACAAAACGGATATAACTACTTCACTTATTGTCACAAGATGAGTTTAGTTTAAAACACTGGCGTAAACGGTGGCGGGCGATAGGCATTCTTTCAAGTAATGCTTTATTTTACTTTATATTTCCTTCAGACCTTTGCTGCTGTTTCTGTCATTTTACAGTTCAGCATCTGGTCATTTTCAAATTAACTGTTTTGGTTGTTTGTTAAACTATTTAAGTCTGGCATATGAGTCATAAAAAGGTTCCTAAACTCAAGGGATGAGCCAGCGTTGTGTCAACACATGACAGGAACATCAGTAACGAAAGTCAAATTGGAATTTTAGGCTTTTTGTTACAAGCTGTCCATCATGAAGACACAATTTATTCCCTTTTCTTTAGTCAAATATAAAAAAACAACAGTTTATCTGACATTAAATGGTATTTTAGCACCATAATGGCGCTTCCTAAAGAGCTGAAAATTTACATACATGATCAGCTGAAGGATGGTCTTAAGCTGCTGCTTTCCTTGTCGTATTTGTACATAGATGTTATCTTTTAAGCACACACTGCACAATATGTTGTCATGTTCAGGTACAAGGGCTGGTCTGAAAATGACTAATAAAGCAGCCAAAGTCCAAAAAACAACAAAAAACTCCCGCCCAGAGAACCACTGATCATCACCTTTGTATTCTCTTGTAAAGAGCTCTAACACTGAACGGTAATTCTAACATGCCCGTTAAGCATCCATTCAAGATGCTCTGTAATGTTGAGGGAAACGAGTGAGCTCACTCCTGATGACCTAACTGGGAATGTGGGGAAAAGTGTAACACTGAGTAAGCGAGGAGAGAGCGGAAATATTGCAGATCACACCGAGGCTCCCTCGATGCCAAACATCAGCACTTTTTTGTTCCTCCTCCGGGCTTGTTAAAAAAATGAAAGCGGTCTCTTGGTAAGGTTT